AGGAGTTCCTAAGGGACAAGGTCCCAAGAGTGGCTGGGACAAGCAGTTCCATACCTGGCCTCAAGGATCACTCCCTAACTGAGGGTGCGCACAGACCACTGAACCAGTGCCTCTTCACCAGAGCCCAGAGGAGACGGAGGGATAACTCCCGGGTGACGGGGAGGGGACACTGATCACACCGAGGGCTCTGCTGGGGACACTTGTCCCTTCTCTGTCCTTCTGCTCCTCAGTCTATGGAGGGCCACTCCACTGTGTGCCTTCCATTTAGCCCACCACAGCTCCTGTCACCCTGTCAGGGAATCTCCCCAGGTATCTCCCCGCTCAGCCACGAGCTCTGTGAGGTGAGTCACGGCTATCGCATTCGCCCCCAGAGACGGCACCTGCAAGTCCAATGTTCTGGGTTTGAATGCAGCTCTGCCACCTACCACCTACGTGACGGCGGGCAAGTGTCTAAGCCTCAGCTGTCCCTCCGTGCCCCCCTCATGAGGCTGTTGTGAGGACCAGCAGCACCAGCCGCTGGCACTCATGAGTGCTGGGGGTGCCGGGCGCTCATCTCAGGGCTCCACGGGCATTAAATCCCTGAGCTGAGGTGTCCCTGTGGGTAAGTGTTGTTACAGTGTCTGGCACAAGAAGTTCTCAGTATTTGAGCCGCAGCTCCCAGCACGGTACCCAGCAGTTGGCTGTGCTCTCAATAAAGATGGAGGAACTACTCCCCAAACCTACTGTGACAAGGGGCAAGGTCAGAGCAAGACTGTGACGCTTAAGCCACTCCAACAGCAGCCCCAGTCACCTGGTTCTGCTGCCCCCCAAAAAGGTTCAAGGACTGCACAAAAGGACTTCAAGCAGAGAAGGCCCTCCGGCGGGTACAAGCACCCCTGCAGCACTGGGGAGGGTGGGGGAAGGAAGGAGTGATGTGAGTACTTGGGGCTGATGTGAGAGGGGGTCACGGTGGGGGGACAGCACACTCTGGGTTCAGGCTCAGAGTCAGCTCGGGCAGGACCCGGTGGAAGCTACCTCCCAGGAGCAGCCTCAGCTAAAAGCAGTGAGACTCGCCTTAATGATCCCTCTAGCCAGGATCGCTCCCAGGCTCGCTATGGACACCTTTAACACACCCAACCAGTAATGGCTTCATCTGAACACCATGTCCTATCCTTGCTATCCTTGCTTTCCAGGGGCTTCCTTAACCTGATTCCTTGCATTCCAACCCATTCCCAAGTGGGCAGGGCTATGGTCCCCATCGGGGAAGCAAACAAGGGGCTGGGAGGTACCAAACCCACCTGTGAGGGAGCATGTTCTATGGGGGAGCGTGCGGTCCCCCTGCCGGCCCCGTGGATGTGGCATCCAGCCACTGAAGGACAGATGTGCAGATAAGAACAGGTGCCAAACAGTGTCTGGAGCTCACCAGTGGCCATGCCTATCCTGCTGTCTCTCACAGCCACGTGTCCACAGAGGCTGTGAAAGCATCCTTCTCCCCCCCTCTTCTCCTGGCTCCTTCCTGCTCTCCTTTCCAGTCTCATTTCAGACATTACTTCCTCCAGGAACCCTTCTGTGACCCCCTCTATTATGTCTTCCTCCTTCTCCGTGGCACTCGTCACGGCTGTCCTGAACCACGTGTTCGTCTTCCTTCCCCGAGCGCCACAGCTCTGGCAACACTCAGCTGCCTCTCCAAGACCTCCAGTAGAGGGTCATGCAAGCCGCGTCAGGAGCTGGTCCATGGGCTCCAGGGCTCACGAACTCTTTCCCGAGCACTGTCCACCTCTTCACTTTTTCATGAGATGAAAACATATAAAACCTTACTGTTTATGTCATTGTTATACAGGGCAGATCTACTATATGCAACCAAATCTCATCCTAATGTACCTTCTGATCCCCAAAAGTCAAAACTGAACATTTTTCCTTCCAGAACACAAGTAAACAACTACGCCTCTATGTTTCATCTGCTGTTTAATTAGTGTCCCAAGAGTGGACCGCTTCCTTCCCCGCTCTCAGCCCTTCTCCCAAGCCTGAGGTTTTGCAAACGTGGTTTAGAACTTTTATTTTCAGCTTGTCATGAACTCAACATGACAGAAACCATCTCGCAGCAGCGCCAGCCCCCAAGATAAAAGCGTGCGCGTGACGGGCACCCTGCTCCCCGCCGCTTCCCGCGCTCTTGCCCGGTCTCACCGCCTCTGCCCTGCTTCCACGGTCCTTCCGCTGTAGGAACTGACCGGGCATGTTCTCAGCTGCACTGAACAGACGCTGTATGTTTTATGCCATTACTTGTCTGAAACGCCTTTTGGGGTGGCTTCTGGGCTAGGTGTATAGAGGCCCGCGGCCCCTCTCCTTGGAAGTCTGCGGACACCGGCCCACGGCCTTCCCACCTCCAGGGTCACATGTGGGAAGCCCAATGAGAATCTAATTCTCTTTCCTTTGAAAACCTGCTTTCTCCCTACAAAATTTTAAGATTTTTCTCTTTCTTCTTGGAGTTTAGGAATTTTACTAGAAAACAAGTTAAGTGTTGTCTTCAGTGTGAGCCAGATGAATCCAGAGTCTGAAGAATCACGTCTTCCTTTGGTTCACTGAAATTTCCCTCTACTGTTTTTCTATTACGCCTCTATCTGTTCCTTTTTCTCCTTCTGGAATTTTCTATTCTACTGGCCCCCAGCCAGACTCCTGGCTCTAAGTGTCTTACCTGTTAATGCATTATTTCCATTTCTTTGTATCATTGTCCTGGGTTGTGAGGCATTTCTTCTCTTTGGCCTCCCAAATCACTAATTTCAACAACTTCTACCGATCTCTGAGTTTAAAAGCCACGTTTTTTCGTCCCAGAAGAGCCTCTGGCACACTCCCGTCTCACCCCTTTGGGAGTGAATTAAAGTGAATTAAAGTTCTTGTGAATTAAAGTTCTGAAGGCGTCTGTCCCATTCATCCTGCCTCAAAGAAGCTACTGTTCCAAGTGTGAAGTTTGGCTTCCCTCCTTTCTACGACCAAGTCCCCGAACATGTGTTGTCATTTGTCTCCGCCTGTGGAAGACACGGGTTGCTGCAGCCCCTGTTCATGACAGACAGCCTGGGCTCCTGCAGCACAGCAAGCCTCAGGGCCCGGACAGCCTGAGAGCCTCTGTTCAAGAGAGCTCAAGGGAAATACACTGGTGAACGGCATCTTCCGCTGAGCAGCAGGGAAGGATCCTCTGCCCTTTGGTCCCCACCCAGGTGAGGACAGGAAAGAGGAGTCGTCTCCCACCGGCAGAGGCCGGGCGTAATACTGCCCAGATCACCCATGAACCACAAGTGGACAGTCACAGCCTTTCCCCTGAAATCCAGTTCCACTTCTTTTTTTTTGTCTTTTTTCTTTTAATTTTTTAAGTTTATTTTTTAAAATTTATTTTTAAGTAATCTCTACACCCAGCCTGAGGCTCAAACTCCAACAACTCCAAGATCAAGAGTCACGTGCTCTTCCAACTGACCCAACCAGGCACCTCATCCCGGAATCCAGTTCTCACCAGACCCAAGAGCACACACAGGGAGTCCAATCCCAGCTCTGCCACTAACCTGCTGTGTGACTTCAGGGAAATCACTTTCCTCCGAATCTCTTTGCTGTGTGCTCCCGCCTCTAAACCAGCAGCTGTCTCCAGCATCCTCCTTAAGGGAACCAGTTCCCACCAGGAGGTACGTTTCCGGGAAAGTGCTTCTACTAAGCACTGCATGAAATGCTTGTGTTGTAGTTAATCATGCAACATCAAGGAAGACTGAATCCCTAGCAGGAAAGCATCAGAAACTTCACCTTCTGCCTCTTTCGTGATAATGGTTTGACGGAGGGGTAAGGCTACTAGAAGAATCTGAAAAAGATTTTTTTTTAAAGATTGTATTTATTTATTTGAGAGAGAGAGAGCCTTTGGCTCAGGTCATGATATCAGGGTCCTGGGAGGGAGCCCCACATCAGGCTCCATGCTCCGTGGGGAGTGTGCTTCTCCCTCTCCTTCTGCCTGTCACTCCCCCTGCTCATGCACACACTTGCGCTCTCTCTCAAATAAATAAAGTCTTCACAAAATAAAATAGGGGCACCTGTGTGGCTCCGTTGGTTGAGCCTCTGCCTTCAGCTTGGGTCATGATCTCAAGGTTCTGGGATCAAGTTCCACATCGGGCTCCCTGCTCAGCCAGGAGTCTATTTCTCCCTCCCTCTGCCTCTTTGCTGGCTTGTGCGCACGCTCTCTCTCTCTCTCTCTCTCTCATTCTATCTCTCAAATAAATCTTTCAATAAAATAAAAAAATAAATAAAAATAATGAAATGAAATGAGATGAGATGAGATGAAATGAAAAGAAAAGGAGCTCTCCAGCAGCTGGGTAATACAGAAAAACATTCTTGGAAGAGGTGCCAGAGAGGATGCACAGACTCTCGGGGAGCAAGAAAGGGGGCGGGTAGGACAAGAGGTTGACCTGTAGAGTGAAGTCTCTTGAAGACAATGACCACATCTTATTTGGCCTTCCGCCTTCCTCCCATGGCCAAGCACCTCACACAAGAGCTGGCCTTTCTGGGGAAGGAAGGTCTGAGGCAAGGAGAGGGAAAGCGGCGCGGGCAGCTGAACTGGAAAGAGGACAGGCGTGTGCAGGGAGGGATGGGGACCTGACAGAGGTCCCAGCTATTGGGGAGTGAAACACAGAACGTCTGCCTTCTGACCACCAGAAGCAAAGGGGCGGCAACACGACAGGGTAGCAACAAGAGGTTTTGCACAAGTAGGAGGTGATGGAAGAAAGGGAAAGCCCTTGATACAAGAACCAGCAGAGAAAAGCTCAGCATTTAATCTGCAAAGGAATCCCTGAAACCCCTCTGCACACCCAGCTGAGGACGCCCGGCCCCCGAAAGCCAGGCTGCAGCTCCCCAGCCCGCGGACACCATCGGCACGAGCTTTCTCTGGCGCACCGCCCCCGATCACCGGTCCCGCCGCGCCCCTTCCGGCGCCTGTCCGTCACGGCCCTAAGCCCAAGAAAGCGCATCTCATGACGGTCCATAAACCAACTTACCAGGAATACATGATGGGCTTCAAAATCCCAGGCCAAGAGGATATACCATCCCAGCACATCGCTTTCCAAACAGTAGCCACTGTAAAAGTAGGAGGAATAACTCCGTTGACTTCGATGTTTCCGTACGGTAAGACTTGTTTTTCAAAGCTCAGCAAGGTCAGACCAACGTTAGTCTCTAAAATCGGATTTCAACCTGTTCTTTGAAATGTCAAATACTTTTCCCATAGATCAATATTTGATACCACCACTAGCCTACCAGGTAGCAGAGCCTGTCCTAAATGTATCAAAATCAACTCAACTTCTTTGGTGGGAAAATGCATTCTGGCAGGCCTGAAGTACCAGCCATGGCCTCGGACACTACCCAGCAGGAAAGGGACTCCGCAGTGCCCAGAAGCAAACACCCGGGCCCTCAGGGCACACGGCTGTTGAAACAGGAGTGCGTGTGACAAGGGAGGGAGGGCCTGACAGGCCCCAACGCAGAGGCAGCCTCTCGGCGACCCACTGACACAGAGGAGCATCCTGCACGGGGAGGGGGGCACTGAAAAGGCTCCCCGTCGCTGGTTTCTGTCCTCCAAAGCACCCCCTCTCTCCACACCTCCACCTCTCACTCCTCACCCAGGTGAGTGGCTACACCACCTCCTTTACAGAGGAAAGCTGACTTCGGCTCTCCTGGGCCCCTCTTTTAACCTAAATGTTTCTCTATCTTCTCCAGGTCCTCTGCTCCCACCTCTGAGAGAGGCAGCTAGCCGCCTGCGACCCAGAGCCAACCCCTGGCCTGGGCCTGGGGCTCAGCAACCCCCTTCCTGGTAACCTCAATCTCTTAAACTCTCTTGGTCCTACCCTCTGAGAACACCTGCCATCCTCCTCAGTCTTCAAAAGAGCTCTGACCCTTGAACTCCAGGCTGCTTCCCATCAGACACCCTGCCCTCCTCAGTACCGCACCCCCTCACTACCAGCCACTGGGTAACACTCTACCTAAGCAGTGGAGCTGCTCCCTCCCAGGCCACCAAGACCTCCCAATTTGCTGAGGCTACTGGCCTCAGGCTCTCCCACCTCTTGGTAGCTTTTAACACAGTTCACTAGGCCCTCCTTCTGGAAACTCCTCCTATCCCCTTACCTCTGGCCTCCTCAGCTGCTTTAGTTCTCTCACCTTTCAGAGCTTCCCCGCAGCCCTTGCCCTGGAGGCCTGGCCCCAGCTTCACCGCCACCTCCTGTGTCTCACACTTTATGCTGCAGCAACAAGAAAACCAACCCAAACACAGAATGTCCACTGAACTGCCTGAGGCCCACCCACTCACCCACCTGTTTCCCACCTGCCTCCTGCAGCCAGGCTCTGCTCAGGCTGCCCCCTTGTTATGACCCCGAGCCGTGGCTCACCAAACTTCCTGACCCTTTACTACCAACAGCTGAGAATTATTAAGCCAACACCTCTAAAATACATGTTTATTTGTAAGTTAAACATACATTCTAATGTACCAAAGTGTTCCATACATTATAAAAGAAATTATTACAGCAATGAAGACGAAATAAATAAGGTAAAATGATTATTTTACATTATTCACCAACAGTACAAAAAGCCTTCATTCTCATTAAGTTTTAATAGGAGCATGTGACTCATATGCTTCCTTTTTCCAGTGTTTGTTTTTTTTAAGATTTTATTTATTTGAGAAAGAGAGAGAGAGAGAGAGAGCATGAGCTGGGGGAGGGGCAGAGGAAGAGGGAGAAGTAGGTTTGCCAATGAGCAGGGAGCCCTACACGGGGCTTGATCCCAGGACCCTGAGATCATGACCTGAGCCAAAGGCAGATACTTAACTGCCTGAGCCACACAGGCACCCCTTTGTCAGTGTTTTTTTTTTTTTTTTTTTTTTTTTTTTAAAGATTTTATTTATTTATTTGTCAGAGAGAGAGGGAGAGAGAACAAGCACAGGCAGACAGAATGGCAGGCAGAGGCAGAGGGAGAAGCAGGCTCCCTGATGAGCAAGGAGCCCGATGTGGGACTCGATCCCAGGACGCTGGGATCATGACCTGAGCCGAAGGCAGCTACTTAACCAACTGAGCCACCCAGGCGTCCCACCTCTTTGTCAGTGTTTTAAATACACTTTCTACAGGGGCACCTGGCTGGCTCAGTTAGTAGCACATGCGACTTGATCTCAGGCTCCACACTAGGCATGGAGCCTACTTAAACACACTTTCTACAGATGTGCAATATACATACAGAAAAGAGCACACAGCGTAAGTGCACACATCCAAGAATTCTCAGAGTGAATACATGCACCCAGCAGCCAGACAGAGAGAAAGAATATCACCAGCCACCCCCCTCCAGAAACCACTGCATCCCCTTCTACCACATCCCATCCCCCAAGGATAGCCACTATTCTCATTTCCAACAGCGTAGATGAGTTCTGTTCAAATCTTAAATGAATGGGATCACAGAGTTTATAATCTTTGTGTCTGAATGAATACTGTACCTGTGACATTCATCCTGATTTTTCATCGAACTGTTATTCATTAACTCTTACTGACTACAGCTGTCCACTGTGGGAGTTTACCACATGGATTCTACTGCTGATGGACACTGGGATTTTCCAGCCTGGCCTATGACAGGTGGTGCTGCTCCAAACATTCTTGAGAAAGACATTTGGTACACATTCGTATGCCTTTCTATAGGGTTGACACCCTGGAGCGGAATTGCTAGGTCGTAAGTAAGTGTATGTTCAGCTTCAGGAGAGGATCGTCTACCCACGTGGCTGACGCAGTTTACACTCCCGCCAGCAGGGCACCGGAGTTCTGGCTGCTCCACATCCTCTTCAGCATGTGATATGGTTTTGGTTTTGTTTTCATTATAACCACCCTGGCAGATAAGATATCACAAAGTAAGTATTACAGCTCCTTGTAAAGATGGGGAGAGTGAAATTAAGTGCCTCTGTCAAGCTCACAAACCTAAGGGGAGTCAGAGCAGGATCTCAGGTCTTTGGACTTCAAAACAGGTACTGTTTCCATTTGCAGAGAAATACTATTTCCAACATCACAAGAGGCTACAGCACTAATAAAAGAACATGCTTCTGGACTGCACCCATGGACTATGCCCATCCAAAAACTCAGCTCATGACAGGGAAAGCAGCATAAAATGTGTCAATCCAACTTTGAGACAGACACATAGAAAAAGTCAAGACATATATACCCCAAGCATTAATAAGAAGATAATGGCTGATAAAAAAGAAAAAATCTTGCCATTTGCAACAACACGGATGGACACAGAGGGTGTTATCATGCTAAGTGAAATAAGCCAGACAGAGAAAGATAAATACCACATGATTCCACTTATATGCAGAATCTTAAAACAAAACAAAACAAAACACCCAAACTCTTAAATACAAAGAAAAAACTGGTGGTTGCCAGACCAGAGGTGAGGATGAGGTCATGGGTAAGGAGGTGAAAGGCATTAAGAGGTTCAAACTTTCAGTTATAAAATAAGTAAGTCAACACCAAAATAAAAAGCCTTTGTACAGCAAAGGAATCCATCAACAAAACAAAAGGCCAGCCTAGTGAATTGGAAAAGATAGTTGTAAACGACATAACCAATAAAGTGTAATACCCAAAGTATATTAAGAACTTATATACCTCAACACCAAAAACACCCCAAACAATCAGATTTTAAAATGCCCAAGGGATCTGAATAGATATCTTTCTCAAGAAAATATACAAATGGCCAGGGGCGCCTGGGTGGCTCAGTGGACTAAGCCTCTGCCTTCGGCTCAGGTCATCATCTCAGGGTCCTGGGATCGAGCCCACATCAGGCTCTCTGCTTGGCAGGGAGCCTGCTTCCTTCTCTCTCTCTGCCTGCCTCTCTGCCTACTTGTGATCTCTCTGTCAAATAAATAAATAAAATCTTTAAAAAAAAAGAAAAAGAAAATATACAAATGGCCAACAGACACATGAAAAGATGCTCAACATCACTCATCATCAGGGAAACACAAATCCAAACCACAACGAGATATCACCTCACACCCATCAGAATAGCTAGTATCAAAAAGACAGGAAATAACAAGTGTTGGCAAGGATATGGAGAAAAGCAAGCCTTTGTTCACTGCTGATAGGAATGTAAATTGATGTAGCCATTGTGGAAAAGAAAACACTTATGGAGTTTCCTCAAACAATTAAAAATAGAAATATCATATGATCCAGTAATTCTACTACTGGGTATTTACCCAAAGAAAACAAAAACACTAATTAAAAAAGATACATACACCCATATGTTTGTTGCAGCATAATTTACAATAGCCAAGACATGGAAGCAGCTCAACTGTCCACTGACAGAAGAATGGATAAAGAAAACAGAGCAGGGGCGCCTGGGTGGCTCAGTGGGTTAAGCCGCTGCCTTCGGCTCAGGTCATGATCTCAGCGTCCTTGGATCGAGTCCCGCATCGGGCTCTCTGCTCAGCAGGGAACCTGCTTCCCTCTCTCTCTCTCTGCCTGCCTCTCTGTCTACTTGTGATCTCTCTCTGTCAAATAAACAAATAAAATCTTTAAAAAAAAAAAAAAGAAAACAGAGCATACATATATACACAATGGAATATTATTCATCCATAAAAGAGAATGGGATCTTGCCATCTGTGACAACATGGATGGACCTAGAGGATATCATGCTAAGTGAAATTAGAGAAAGACTAATACAATATGATTTTGCTTACAAGGAGAACCTAAAAAAAACAAAACAAAACAAAACAAACCAGACTCTTAAATACAGAAAACTGATGGTTGCCAGAAGGGAAGTGGATGGGTGACAAGCAAAATAGATAAGGGGGATTAAGAGGTACAAAGTAGGGCGCCTGGGTGGCTCAGTGGGTTGAGCCGCTGCCTTCGGCTCAGGTCATGATCTCAGGGTCCTGGGATCGAGTCCCGCATCGGGCTCTCTGCTCAGCAAGGAGCCTGCTTCCCCCTCTCTCTCTCTCTCTCTCTCTGCCTGCCTCTCTGTCTACTTGTGATCTCTCTCTGTCAAATAAATAAATAAATAAATAAATAAAAGAGGTACAAAGTACTGTACCAGTATTAAATAAGTATTAAATAAAATAA